GGTTGTTGCTAAGATTTCAGAAAGAGGAGGAACTCGGATCGTATCTTGGCCAGATGTATGGTGTCTACAGACGTTGTGCTTGATCGAGTCTGTGTGGGAATCTTCTGTCGGAGCCATTAGGGTGTAATATTGCTGCTAGCCTCTTCTGAGGCATCGGTCGCCTGGCAAAGGGACCGACACATAGAGTCGTTTGGTGATCATGGTGTCGGATCTTTGCTTTATATAAGACCCACTTCCCTATCTTTGGATATAGTAACCGTTCAGCCTATTGTCAGCTTGGCAAAGCGCAGATCAAAACCGAAAGCAAAGCCGAAGCTATGCCTTTTCTGGCGGTTGACCACGAAGCGATAAGTCGCAGCAGAATGTAGGCAAGATACGTCAAAGCCCATGAAGATAAGGTTAATAGTAGCATTTATGACAATCCGACTTGCTGGCCTCGATATCTTCCCGGACTGGTCCATCCCCTGGTTCCTGGTTACTGATCGCTTTGGGGTTGACATGAAGAGGTGTAAGCTACAGAGGAATAGGGTTTTCGGTGGCAGGGGCGCGGGCAATGCCTCGAAAATTATTTCAATTGCCTGCATCCTTATCAGCATGCTTGTCCAATTGTGTTGCATCTCCTTGTCGACGTCGTCCGACACCAGGTAGTTGCCGGGCAAAAATTTTCAAGACGACAAGGTACGGCGGATGTCTTCACTTACAGTCAAAGAGCGTAAAAGTGTTCACCCGGTTGTGGCGGACCTTGATGCAGCCGAATTGTTCTTGAACAGTTGATGCACTCATTCCGGCGAGTCTTCGCCCTGGTGGTCTCGTAGTGTTTGGATATGCCTCAAGAAGGGTTTTGAATTCACTCTAGGGAGTCTCGAGGAATGAAGTGCCATGAATGGCGTGGTTTATGGTGCTTTCATTTCATCGCGTCCTATCCGTTCACAGTGTCGTCGCTAATAGCTTCATCGGTTGCATACTCGGACGAATTGCGATGACTTTTCGGAAGCAGTGACGGGCTTCCGAGGAGCCACTAAGTTGTTTGAGCCACTTCAGAGTTCAAGGGATGCTGTGCGTCTTCTTATCTGTTCGAACTGTTCCGGCATCGCGTTGTTGAAGTTTCTGTTGTTGTGGCTAGGGGGTAGACATAACGGCACGGCCTATGAACGTCGAAGCCCAGCCCGGCGATAGGCATTCTCGTGGAGAAAGCATCACGTTATCTGCATGCAGGGCGGTTGATGCGGTTCATTTTCGACGCGGTGAGACACAAGGGGAGGACGACCCGAGCGTTGTGGCTACGCAGGACGCAGAAATCAGTGGGGCAGTAAGTAAAACTCCACGTGCAATTCCCTCAGTCATGCTGACATTTCAACAGCTATCCTCAATCCTAGGCCGGTCTAGTGGCCCAATTGTAATAGCAGCTTTATTTGCACTTTGTGGTTTTGATCACTGGACGGTGTGGGTGCGGCTGGCAAAGGGGAGTTGATTCGGGACGGAAGCCAGGCAGCAAGCATCCCTGGTTACTGTCCTCTCCCGTGATCTGATGAGATAGGCAGGCGTGCAGAAGAAAAGAAAGGCGACTGGCAAAAAGGCAATTAAAAGGACAACTTTTGGATTGATGCAGCTCTAGACAGACGATGAGGGGGGTCAGTTCGGCGATTGCTTACGTTCCAGACCCCCGAGGCAGCACAAGCATGGGCGCCACAAGCTCCCGAGGATGGGCCGCTGTGAAAAAAGCCCGCCATCCACGGTACCCATTGTGCCATATAGCGAGAGAGTCACGGAGCATCTATTCGCACAGTAAGCCGGGGTCAGGCAGTTAAAGGCCATGCCCTGCTCAACACCACGGCCCAGAAGCTGAATGTTCGCCCTGCCATCCACCAGCCGATCTAGGGGTGACTGAACCCGTCGACTCGCTACTGGACGGCTTCAAGACTGCAGTACTCCAACGCCTCAGAGAAGGTTTGCATCGCCAAACCTTGGGCGTTTTGTCTTTTGTTACCCGTCATCTGTCATCTTTGATTTTTGGTCTTTGATCTTACGGCCCTGGGCCCAGCAGGCGACTCCCGGCTGAGGCAATCGCACAAGCTTTTTGGTCGTCTGCATCTCATGGCGTTTTGCTTTTGCTCTGCAACCGCAACTTACCCTTGACCTACCATCATTGAATGCTATCACTACTACTACCACTCCATCATCCCATTCACCCTCAATGACGGCTGCGCTGTAATACCGGACCACCCGAAATTACTCTCTCTGACCACCCGACTACCACCGTTGAGGGAACCAGCCGAGAGCATCAAGTCGTCCACTTCTGCATCTCCTGCAAGCCGCCAACCATCACCACAGCCATGATAATTGCCATGAACCGGAAACTTGTATTGACCTCTACAACTTCTCCAGCACTTCTCAGTTAGGTGCATCTATAGACCCGTTGATTGCACTCTCCTTTTGATTTTCTGCCAGAGCACACTGTGCTTATTCACTCTACCAATTCACTTGCTGGCTGGCGTTTGCAGCCTGACTATATAAGGTCTACCGCAGGACCACAACTCTCCTTCAACCTCGGTCTCTGTCGGCTCCAGTCCTGATTTTAGCTTCGACGTCTGCCTGTCTTCGATACGCATTCCGTCTACTTCCAGCATACATCTTCTCTCATTTACAGACGCGGCTTTGAAGCGTGAACATCACAGACCTTCTGCCGGCTCAAAATCAAATTTCAACACTACTCATCGGATTTCTTCGTTTGGACTAGTATCTCACAGCGTAACTTGAGACACAACTGCAGTCTCATCGGCACGAGTCTCACCTGGAACAACTAAATCGAGCTCCTGCCGGCGACCATCGTGTCTCAACCCCACCATCCTAACAACCCACTCCAGCACGCTCAGCACGCCCAGCACGCTCAGCACTCCAAACTCAACCCAACCCACCATCCACCCAGCAGCAATGTCGTCCATCTCGACCACCACCACGCTCCAGCTCAGCGCCACAACGATCGACGAGCTGCAAGGCCTCAGTGAGATGCTACAGCGCATCTTCGTGCGCAACAAGAACCAGCACCGACGCTCGCACTGGTGGAAGGCGCTGAAAGGCTTCAAGCGCGATCTGGGCCTTGTGCTGGCGGAGCTCGCCGCCCTGCACACCGCTGGGCCCATCGGTAGCATCGCCGCTACTCCTAGCGCTAGCAAGTCCGCTGTTGCCCGCCGCCTTCAGGCCCGTCTTCGTGTTCTGAGCGAGGATAAGATGCATGGCTGGTATATGTGAGTGTTCTCCCCTCTTGCCTTCCTCCCCTCCCTTCCCTCCCTCCTTGCTCTGTCTCCCCCCCTACCTCCCTCCTTCCCTCTCTCCCTCCCTCTCTACCTACCTACCTACCTACCTACCTAGACCCCTTCCCTACCCTACCTCCTCACTCCCTTCCCGCTGCTAACACTCCCCCAACAGGACATTCACGCAGCTCGTAGCAGCCGGCCAGTTCGCGGCCGTCGGGCTGGTGCTGATGGCGGCGGTGGCGCGCGTCGCCAAGCTTCTCGGCGTCACCGACGTGTACGAGGAGATCGCCTCCGCCGACATGCGCGCTGTCCTAGACCGCTTCTCGGCCGGGGGCGCGGTGGGCGCGTTTGGCGGGTTGAAGGCCGGGCACGAGGAGGGAGAGGGGTACGGAGGGTATGGCGGGGATGAGGGGGAGGTGGTGGAGAGGGGGTGGGAGAGTGATGATGGGGAGGTTGCGTAGTTGCGGGGTTGCTGGGGTTTATGAATGAACGATTTTTTTAGGGGGTTTGGGGAGTGCTGTGGGGTTTATGATGTGGAGTTGTGATGGCTGATTTGGGTAAATGTACGTGCTGTAATGGAAAAGGGTGGCCAGGGGGTATTGGGTTCATGTTCACTGTGGCAATACTCTCGTTAGGATTATCTGAGGACTGGGGTACTATACTTTTCCTTTTTGAGTGTCAGGCCTAGCTACTTCATCAGGCGTTGAAAAAGACTTTTTGTAGGCAGGGCAAGTGTAGGTCATCTCAGGTTTGATACGTATGATATATAAAATTATGGGTAGTGAAAGGTCACAAAAGCGAGGTGGGATGTATCACATAAAATTTAATAAATTTGCTATAACATGCGTAGAGCCGCTAGTAAAACGGCAGTAGTAAAATATGCCATGCGTCGCTGATAAAGATGTACACGCCAAGAGGCTTTCATTTAGCTCTCGCCACCGCGTGTAGGTTTGGGACGGGCACCTGGAGTACCTTGGGACTGAATGAGTGAAGAGGCCTCCAGAGTCTCTTTGATACTTTGATCTCTTAGTGGAGACAGTACTGAGAGGGTAGAATGTGAGTATGCTTCGTGTACGCATGGGATCAACTAGTGAAACTTGGAGCAGAGAGCGGAGAGTTCTAAAGTTACCATGAGGTATACCTATGGTATTTACTTCAAAATGAAAACCCACTTGATTTTCTTATGGTTCAGGGTGTTGGTCAAAATTTAGCATCGTAGATTGCCTGTCTTATCAATGGTGATGATTGAAAGAGCCAGAGTCCAACGATCAATTCTACCCTTTGATATATTTTGACCAAGCGGAAATTTAATAATCGACGTTCCACTCACCGGGTCGACTGTGTTTGAAATTTATCGTTTTTGGCCAAGCGGTAAGTTAGGAGTGATGTTGTATGGGGACAGCTCCATTCTAGGGTCGGAGCCAGGGTACCTAGTCTTGCTAGTAAAGATAATCCCATGGAACATTAGAGCTTCTAACACAACATGCAAGTTCTAGGCGTCAGCAAACTCTAGTGAGTTCAGTAGTGTAACCAAGGCTCGGAATGAGAGGATAAGCGGTTGAGATAGTAGTTCTGCCAGCTGTCTATCAAGTCGTTGCTGTTTAGAAGGCTGGCCATACTCTTGTAGCACCTCGTTTCGGCCCAACCCTCGATCTTGGGCTCCAATTCAAGCTGCATACAATTTTTGTGCGGATATGTAATGGTTAATTTTTCCTTCCTCTCCATCTGCATAGATGTGTCATCAATGCACCGATAGTTTAGGGGTAGAATTGAAGCTTCCCACGCATTCATTCAATGTCTGCTTCAGGCGCGGGTTCGAGTCCCGCTCGGTGCAAATTCTTTTTGCCTCTTACGCTAGAGGATAATTAATGAAGTTATGAGACCTGTTCTTTTTTTTTTTCTTCTGAAAGAGCGTGAAAGTGGGAACGCGGGGCGGAACTGCCCCGAGCGCGTCATCAGGACAAGCTTCTGCTAGACTCCTCGATTGCATCTCCACACCTTTTTCAATCAACAAAATGTCGAAGATCGAGAAGACGATACAGAGGCAGCAGCAGAAGTGAGGGTCTTTATTCTTGAAGTGGAAGGGAATATTTTTGCTTACAGAAAGAGTAGAATCGAAGAGGGTCAATTCTACGAGGCCCACCAGCAACTGCGCGTCATCGCTTCGCGCTACGTCAAGCAAGGGAACAATGATGCGGCCACAGACATACTCTCCTCAGGCGCACAGCTGCTGTTGAAGGCGGGTCAAGGCGGTAGCGGAGGAGACCTCTGCTTGTTCTTGGTGGATGTGCTCTATAAGGCGGAGATCAAGCCGGATGCTGCAACGAAGGGCAAGCTCCTCTCTCTACTACGGACTTTCCCACCGGACGAGCCAACGAGAAAGAGATTCGTGTCGGAAGTGATCGGGTAGGGTGGTACAACGCTGGATTTATGATATATTTGCTAAAATCCGGCAGATGGACGTCTAAATTCGGAGAATTTCCTGCAGGCGACCCAGAGATACACCATGTGGCGGGCACGCTATACGCTGAAAGCACGTTGTGGCTGTTTGCATTACTGAGGACCATTCACTAATCACGCACAGACTGCGAGCCCTACGACGCCGAGCGCCACCTTGTGCTAGGCACGAAAGATTCACCAGAGCAACTAGCGCGCCTAGAGTACGACTGGTATACCGAAGACGAGTCCCACACAGCGCCGCTATATGCTGCACGAGCAGTCCTTCCATACCTCCTCACTGGCAACCTTCGCGCCGCAAACAAATCCTTCCTTCTATTCACTAGCCGATTGAGCCAGTCAAAACCGAACCTTGGCGTCCAAGAAGTGAGCAGTGCAAGCTCGGACTTGCGTGTCTACCCCAGTTTACCACTACTGAACTTTTTGGGTCTTCTATTATTAGCGGTACAAAGAGGTGCCCCGGATCTGTTTAGGCAGCTTAAGAGCCATTATGCGGTACACTTGAAAGACGTTCCGTCGTGGAATGAGGCACTGGATCAGGTTGGCGAGATGTATTTTGGCATTAAGATACCTAGGCAAGGAAATCCTCTATTTGATATGATGGGAAGTATGTTAATGGGCGGCATGGGAGGAGGCTCGCAGCGGCCAAGGCAGCGGAGGGTGGATTCTCCTGCAGCACCAGGCCTTGATTAATTAAGAGGCACACTGGTGTATAAAGCTATACGAAGCTATAGATAGTAATGAAGAACTCCATGAACTCCCATCCGATGAGCCAATTGCGCCGTGTAGGACGATATTCGCCGCTAAAGTACATTTGCATCTGATTTTTGGGTATCTCGACTTATCAATGACCATAAACACCCCCACGCCAGTAGAAGTTTTCGGCATTACGAAGAGACTGGATCTTCTGCCTCAAACATCCATTTGTCTTCTTCTAAGGATGCGACTTTTGCTTGTAGGCTTGCTTGGAGCGTCGCCTTTAGCTCTATATGAAGTGTTAACTCCGCAACAACATAAATCTACAACGAAGCACCTACCATGTGGTTCAATGTGTTGCTGATGCTTTCTATATGTCTCGATCAATCTATTCTCAACTTCTAACAGCAATTGGTGAGCGACCGTCACCAATTCAACCGATAAACAAACCCACCTCGCTCTTCCTGGAGCTCATTCCTTGGCATTGGAGTCATTGTAGGTTGTTCTATTTGGTAGTTTCCATGCTCATCCCGAGCTACGACATCTGGATTGGCGTCTTCAGAGGCTACTTGAAGTGTTGTGGCCGAAGTGCCTGAAGTAGAGCTTGTGGTGGGCCGTCGGCTGAGAGTGTGACTGAAGAGGTTACGGCGAACGCCCGAGGCGGTTGTTGTGCGCGGGGCTGGTTGACGTGAGGCCATTTCAAGGTCCTCGGGAGGAGAGCTTGCTGAGGGATGTGGTGTTGGAGGGTGTAGCCGGATTGGTAGTTGGCGAGTGGCTGCGTGAAAGGCGGCGGAACTTGTTGTGGTCGGCATCCTTGCGCTGATCTCCCGTCGTTTGCTTGGAGCTTGAGCTCCACCAACTTTCCTTCCACTGCACGAATGGTCATTCACCCCGAAATCAAATTAGGGTCGAGGCTTGTGCTCGGTATGTCTTACATGCAATGTCTTCTTTCGACATTCAACCCCTAGATCGTTTCGCTAGCAGGAACTCTGCGATTAAAAGGCCAAAGGTAGGCACGAACGAGCGGAGCTTCTGTGAGTGATCCAACAAAGCCAACCCTAACTGACGGCCTCTAGGAAATTGCATACTTTTCATATGATGACCAGCATCAATTTCGCCTCGATGATTCTTCCTTGCGTTACTACTACCCCCCTTGCCTGGGCGTCAGTCTCAGCGCCGGCTTCGATACCTTTAAAAAACTCGACGATTCGGCCGACGACCACCTTGAGGGTCTTCTCAAAACCATAATGGAAATGGAGAAGCGCGATGGAAAACGCTGTGAAGCGGACTTCGTTACATGGCGGGGCATGATGACGAAGGTAGATAGGCCCACCGTTATACTTTGATGTTAGTACCTCAGGGACTGAAGTTGTATAGATCATGACTGCACCATACGATCACTTTAATAAGTAAGAAGATGTCTGTCAAAGGAGCAAACAAAGGTACTAAGATTACATCAGGTTTGAAATGAATGCAACATATTTCCAAGTGGGCCATCCGATGTAGACGATCTGTAGTAGGCCAGGCTGACAGAACTGCCTGCGTTAAGGGCACAATGTAGGTATCGCATTACTTTGATAGCATGATGTCGGGATATGTTACAACACCCTCAGTCGGAAATCAAGGAACAGACGCTAGCTCTCTAAACTAATTGGACCAGATTTATTGAAGAGAACCACGATGCAAAGCTGGCGGACCGCGAGAAACAACATCGGCAACGACCTCGACCAGGCGCCATTTCACAGGACATGATGAGCTATTGGGGTACGTTCTCGGGCTTTGAGCAGCGCAACTCTTACTAATTATATCATCCAAAGGCTACAAGTTTGAAACCCTTTGCTTGATTCCAGATCAGTGGGACGCTGTTTCTCGGGATTATATTGAAAACAGAGAGCATGAAATTGTGAACAACCACGCTCAGTACTGCTCTATAGTCAGAACAGGGTTCGGAAATGCCAGTCTCGTAATAGGTGGTGAAGTAGATGCAGGTACGTTGATTATCAAGTCTGTGTTGAATCATATCTTGACAAGATGCCTAGTTTGGGACTGTAAGCCGGAAGATAAAGAACTGCCTATCAATTGGGTCGAGCTCAAAACCGCAGAAGAAATCCAATCTGATGGAGACAAGCTCAAATTTGAACGCAAGCTTCTCAAGTTCTGGGCTCAATCATTCCTTTTAGGTGTCCCGAAAATAATTGTCGGCTTTCGTACCAAAGATGGAATCCTCCGTAGGATTGAGGAACTGAGCACCCAAAAGCTTCCTGGGAATGTCAAACGACTCGGAAAAGGCAGTTGGGATGGGAATGTTTGTATTAACTTCACCGCTTCGTTTCTCGATTGTGAGTTCCCTCCCCTACACGATATCAGTCCACATGTGCTAATTCCGGTGGCGGAAAGTCTTAAAAGCCACAATCACAAAGGACGGAGTTTGGAGGATTAGCCGGCGGGAGAAATCACCTGTTATCGAGGTCTTCAAGGTGCATGAAGGACATGGTCAGATTTTAACACCAGAGTTTCTAGAGTGGCGTCAACAACAACTAGCTCGTGAGGTTGCGGGTATGCTATGAGCCTAGAGTGAGCTTGAAGTTTGGGGGAACTGAGGAAGCAGGTTGTAAGATTATGAAACAACGCCAACGGACACGAGGCTAATTCGAGATACTATCTGTACGCTAACAAGACTGTAGTTGAATTCATGAAGGGCACTGAACCACTGGACTGAATTCTCTCGGTGTTTCTAATGTTTTGCTAAGAACTGGCTCTGACAGCTTTCCGGGGGTGACTTTTCTTTGCACCTGTGTACGGTTCCGCATTTGGTGGGACTCGCTCATTGCAAGGGCTTCAGAGGCTCAACTCCTCGGGTGTTTCAGCTGCTTAACCCCAAGTGTTTCGGCCTATGACGGACTTTTAGAAAGGATCACGGGTATGTCGGTATTAGTAAGTATGCTTCCTTTGAAGTACGGCAGCCCATTGAGTGGCAACAATCCAAGCAAGCCTGGGTAGGCCCGCCGGCCGCACAATCCGTCTGGAGGTATAGGTAACCCCTGTTTAATACGGCTCCCACGATTCATTTCGCCCCACAGTCTTACTTTTTTGCGGATACTTATCACTCCGGGTAGACCAAACCAGCTGCAGATACCGCCAGCCTCGTAGCGCCCGAGCGGCCAGACTGATTGATTACCACATGATCCCCAGGATGTCACGAAATTGAGTTTCAGGCTGACCGATCTTCAGCCGGACTTACAAATCCTCGCCACGTAGAGAGCGCTTGGAACAGAGTGTATTCAATCAGGTTCTTGGGGTTTTGGGAGCGCTGCATTTTCCGCTGTTGCCAAGACATAGCTACTGCGAACAAGCCTTTGAGAACCTACAGAGCACACACACAGCAACGACAACTAAACAATCCGTGCTTCAGACTACGATCAATGAGAGCTTCGCACAGCTGGCTTGAACTTATGCTTTAGGCACAATACGCCTCTTCTAAAGGGTCTTTCGAGCATACTCTAACCACGTATCCAGATCACAGCCATTAAAAAGATTACCCCTCGAGGCGTGTTGCTCGGGAGTTTCCGGTAATCCCCGAAAGAGCGATTTAAAATGGCTAAGTAAGCTCTTCTCATCTCATCCCGTCAGTTGGTCATGCGTTGTCTGCTACGGATCGTCGAGATAGTGCCGTGAGAAATC